CCTGTATATAGACCGAGACAGACAGACAGACAGACAGACAGACAGACAGACAGACAGAGAGACAGACAGGTGAGAGACAGACAGATAGGTGAGAGACAGACAGACAGAGAGACAGACAGGTGAGAGACAGACAGGTGAGAGACAGACAGGCAGAGAGACAGACAGATAGGTGAGAGACAGACAGACAGAGAGACAGACAGGTGAGAGACAGATAGGTGAGAGACAGACAGACAGAGAGACAGACAGGCAGACAGACAGGTGAGAGACAGACAGACAGACAGACAGAGAGACAGACAGGTGAGAGACAGATAGGTGAGAGACAGACAGACAGAGAGAGAGACAGACAGGTGAGAGACAGACAGGTGAGAGACAGACAGAAGGGAGAGACAGACAGACAGAGAGACAGACAGGTGAGAGACAGACAGACAGGTGAGAGACAGACAGACAGACAGGTGAGAGACAGACAGACAGACAGACAGAGAGACAGAGAGGTGAGAGACAGACAGACAGACAGGTGAGAGACAGACAGACAGACAGAGAGACAGGTGGGAGACAGACAGACAGCATGTACTGCTCCTCAGGTCTGATTTCAGGCTGTGGGCTGCTCTCCTTGGTGAAGACAGACAGGAGGACGGCCCTCACCAGAACCACCTGCTACTCACAGGTGACCCTGAACGCACCTCTCACCTGAAACCAGAGCCCAGGCTGCTCTGATTGGTCAGCTGAGCGGCTCTGTTGTTATTGGTCAACCAAAAATAAACACATCTTCAAAATGGTAAAAGTTATTGTGATTGGTCAACCAAAACTAATAATAGACAATAAGACGTTTAAAATTGCATTAAAAAATAAATGAAAATATTTTAAAGGGCTAAACATTTTTTATAAAAAATTTAAAGATTTGGCAAGAGCGTGCAAATAAATGGTAAAAAACGACTAATACATTTCATTAATCGATTAAAAACTCAAAGCGAGTTCATCCAATTAATTTAATAATTGCATTTAATTTGCTAATGGCTGAGCACTTGAAATTGCATTTAACACTAAAAAACAATACAAAATAAAAATCAAGGATAAGAAAACATGCAAACATTTTTTAGCATTTAAATTGTAAAAAAAGGAATTCAGAAACCCTAAAGTAGCATGTCGGTCCTGTGAGTGAAAGTGGGCTAATCCAGATTAACAGCCCCCGCCTGCGGCAGCCGCTTGGTACAACCCGAGGACTTTAAGCCTCTTTGTGTGCAGCTCCAGGTCTTCACATTAAAACTTGTGGATTTATTTAAAATCCTCTCCTGATGCAGGGTGCTGCGGCGCTGGAGGAGCGCTCGCTCTAATGGACTGAATACTGGACTTGAACTATTCCTAATACTGTCATTTATTCGACTGAACACTGGACCTAAAACTGGACTTTTACTGTCTTTGATCCGATCTAATACTTGACCTTTAGTGGACTTATAATGGAATAATAATGGCCTTCAGAACTTCACATCAAAACGTGTTACAACCCGAAGACTTTGTGTGCAGAGCGGCTCCAGATCTTCACATTAACACGTTATTGATTACTCGACTTGTTACTGCACTCTATACTGGACTAACACTGGACTGGTTCTAAACTGGATTCTGGATTCTTCATGGACTTTAAAACCTGCAGAGCGGCTCCAGGTCTTCACCTGTTTTAAACATCTCCTCTCCTGATGCAGGGTTCTGCTGCGCTGGAGGAGTGCTCGGTCCGCTCCACCTCCCCCTCCCTGCTGACGGCAGCCGGGGGGGGGCAGCGGGTTCTGACCCGGCTGGACGAGGGGTCGGGGTGCACCGGACCTGAGAGGGTGCTCAACCTGTGGAGAGAGGAGGGCATCAAGAACAGCCGGGACATCCTGCAGGTCCGTGTTTCATACTGCCCTCTGTCCTGGAGTTATACTAAAGTGAAATCTGTCTTTTATTCTACTTAATACTGGTCTTTAACTGGATTTCTTTAACTGGATTTATAACTGGACTTTAACTAGACCTAATACTGTCTGTAGCCATCTTTTACTAGAGTTAGTTCTGGACCATAGCTAAAGTCATTATGATGGCCTGTTTTAGCCTTATGGTGTTCATTTCTCCACGTGAGAGCAGGGGGTTCTGGGTGATGCAGCAGTCTGAAGGCTCTCCTCAGTGAAAGTGAATTATGATCTCTGTGTTTCCTCCAGACGCTGGACTTCTCCCTGGAGGAGCGCCTCTCTCTGGTGGATCTCACTCTGGCTCTGGACAACGAGCTGCTGGTCAGCGGGAACGGGATCCACCAGGCGGCGCTCATCTCCTACAAGAACGAGATCCAGCACCTGCAGTACGTTCCTGCAAATTAGATTGTTATCCTGTATTCAGCACATGTTACTCTCCAATCCCCGGTTCTTTAATGGTTACTTTATTTTACCTGCAATGGCCCAGAAATTCAAAAAAGTCAGAACACTGCAAAAAGTTTTTTTGTGGTCTAATGGATAGTGAGGTGGGCTGATGATCCGAAGGTTGCGAGTTCAAATCCCGCCTGGAACACCACCACGAGTGTGCCCTTCAGTAAGGCACTCAGTTACTCCAGGGAGAGTGTCCCTGTAATTGGTCATTGTAAGACGCTTTGGAATAAGGTGTCTGCTAAATGCCTGAATTGGAAATTGTAATATATTTTTGGGAGAATAAATCCCACAGATCCTGAACTCCGGTGTGTCTCCGAACTCCATGAACTCGCATGTATTTTCTTATTTGAGGGGGGGGGGGTTGCGGTGACCCCACAATCATCAGAAGTACTCAAGAAGTGCTTCTCCCTCAGGGTGCAGGTGGAGCAGGCCTGCAGGCAGAGGGACAAGATGAAGGCTGACCTGGAGCAGGCGGAGCAGAGGAACCTGCAGCTGGTGGGGGAGGTGGACGAGAGGCACGCCTGCATGGAGACCCTCAACCACAGCCGTATCAGGTACATATCACCTGTAGAAAGACCCCCACCCTCAACTCACCTGTATATAGACACTCAACTCACCTGTATATAGACCCTCAACTCACCTGTTTATAGACCCTCAACTCACTCCAACTCACCTGTAATAGACCCTCAACTCACCTGTATATAGACCCTCAACTCACCTGTATATAGACCCTCAACTCACCTGTAGAAAGACCCCCAACTCACCTGTATATAGACCCTCAACTCACCTGTATATAGACCCTCAACTCACCTGTATATAGACCCTCAACTCACCTGTATATAGACCCTCAACTCACCTTTTATATAGACCCTCAACTCACCTGTATATAGACCCTCAACTCACCTGTATATAGACCCTCAACTCACCTGTAGAAAGACCCCCAACTCACCTGTATATAGACCCTCAACTCACCTGTATATAGACCCTCAACTCACCTGTATATAGACCCTCAACTCCCCAACTCACCTTTTATATAGACCCTCAACTCACCTGTATATAGACCCTCAACTCACCTGTATATAGACCCTCAACTCACCTGTATATAGACCCTCAACTCACCTGTAGAAAGACCCCCAACTCACCTGTATATAGACCCCCAACTCACCTGTATATAGACCCTCAACTCACCTGTAGATAGACCCCC